CAAATAAGAACTTATCAGTTCAACATGCAGAACTGGCAAACAAACAATGGTAAACCAGAAAAAATTAACCTTACTTTATTCTGAGTTTTGACAGGCTCAAGTGAAAGTAATAGGTTATGATATCCATCCTGGTGACATAGAAGGTCCCTAAGCTCCTCAAGGCTGAAAATTTTAACAAGAAGGCAGATCGATAATCAGACACTAAAAGTGAAGCAGAATGAAGAAAGAGGCTTAGCACTTCCCTTAATTATTTTATTACCGATCTCTTACAGTTTATCTCGTCTCATTGTCAAAATATGCACTGCTGGCCATAAAAAGATTAACCAAGATCTTCCACAGAAACTAAAGACACAAAAGAAACTATATATGCTTAGCAAGATGCACACAGAGATGCTTCTCACATACGGAGCAAACCTGATGACAACTTCTACCACAAACTTAGACGGCAGTTGATCTAGATAACTGTGTTACTTTTCATTTGTTTCATTTTCATGCGAGTGTTTGGACATAATTTTGGGAGAACTATTTCATTCATGTGATTTTATGGACATGCAGTTTTTGGGTGGAAAACAAGAATTTGCTTTGCTTTGTTCTCCGACTTCTCTATTAACCCAAAAAACAATAGCTCTTGTTCCAGAAAACAATCAAGAGTAAATTATATATTTGCAAAGATGCAGAGACAGGTGTTTCTCACCTATTAAGAAACCTGAGAACCAACTATGTGTTCTTTCTTGTTGGGTTTCCAAATTGTTTTCTTAAAACAGAATATCTGCAAAGCTACTGCCTTCTAATAAAATCTTCTTAGTTCATAAAGAAAGATATCTGGAAAGCTACTCCAATTATTTCTAGAAAAGACCCCTATTAGCATCAATTGTCCACAATGTACTTTAGTAGTTTTTAACCGCAACACCGAAGGGCTCTGCTATCAAATAATAAAACTTGTACCAGCAGCAGATTTTATTGTAAGTGCTCCCATTCATCGCTAAAATTTGCATTTCATGAAACTCCTAAGAACACAGACCAAAATTCTGTTACAAAGAGAACTAACTATACTACTCCAAGTGCACGATAGTATCATCACAGCTTCAAGGTTTATCAGGAGTTCGGCAAATAATCTATTGGGATCAGAGAGCTATATGATCCTACAACTACAAGTTAGCGGATCGACGTGAAACCGCTCTACAGACTTGGTCAAAATAAATTTCGTGAGTATCAAAAGTTTGCTCAGTTTTAAAAAAATGCAGATACAAATGGGGGGGGGGGGGGTTAATAATATACATCCACCAACACCCACCTCTTATCTTTTATAGCAGTAATAATGCCTGCAGCCTCTGCAGGGGAAACACGTGACACTGAGCTTGCCCTATCTGTTGGTCTTTGGACACCAAAATGGCCTGAAGAGCTTGGACTAGGAGTTCCGGGGCGGGAAGACCCAGGAGACTGGGAACTTCCTACAGATGGTGGATAAAATGATTCATTATTACCCTCCTGTGGACGTTGCTGAGGTTGGTGCAGACCCCTGCAAGAATTTTTAAAAAGGTATATATGTTAAAATAACCAATTTACATAAGCTAATCTTATGCATCCTAGTTGCCAATTAGAGCATACCATGTCAGTAAGCAAGCCAATACAAGCTAGTGAGCTACCAAGTCTTATGACAATAAACTATACAAATAACATGCATTGAGTTGTCTAATTTCTGAATGCTTATAGGAAAATGAATACAAGACACCAAACCCTTTTTTTAATGATAAAGGTAAACATTTCATCTAATAGTATTAAGAAGGTACCGAAAAGGATTACAAAAAGAGATGCTTTCCTTCAATGTCTTGAAGGAATACAAAAGATCTAGCATAGAGTTCATATCAGATACAATGTTCTTCCTACACTGTGAAGTGCAGACTCGTTAAATGTCTAGATTTAGCATGCAATGACATAAGATTGTAAGATACTCTCTCTCCTCTCATTAAAACATCGATCATTCTTTTACTGACAGATATCCAGAAAATGCAAGTAGGAATTTCCTTCTGACATAATCTGCTGTCCCTAGAAGAGTACAAATCATGCCTGCTGCATAGAGCATGTCTCATGCTCCCTGAGGCCTGACATGAACTGCATAACTCAAAAACATTGACTAGATCTGCCTAGTAAAAGTACAGAACAAACAGTAACTACACCTCAATCCCAAAAACAAGTTGGGGGCTACATGAACCTCCACTTCTTCATTTAAGTTATCATCATCATACTAGTAAAAATAAAAGTAAAACATAATTAAATGTATAAACAATAATAACCTATATGAATCTTTTTCCTTCATTATGCCCTATCTTTTGCTAAATCTACATTGATACCAAACATTTAAGGTCTTTCAATACAACTCGCTCCCATGTAATTTCAGATCTACCCCAACCCCCTAAAACACCTGAACTTTCCATAGTGCAGTACAAGACACCAATAAGATCCTCTTATTAAAAGTCCATTAGGTGAAGACAAACAAGAGAATTGTAGTTCCTCCAATTATACAGTAGCTAATGATCCCAAGCCCCAATCTAACAAACTAAAAATTTTGCTATCACCAAGTTCTAACATAATGAATTTCTCCTACTTCGTAACAATAACAACATCTTTGCCGCTTCAATCCCAAATTACTCTCTATTTGCACATCTTATTCAAATACTTAAGATTCTCTTCTTCTTTTTTATGATTGTGATGTCCGGCCAGTTTTCGTGCATCTAGACTAATTTCACGGGATACTTGTTACCTCCCATAGCAACAAGTACCAGGTAACTCTATCCAACTCGACTAATTACAGGGAAATACTCTATAACTTGTACTTTTAAACAAACTAAAACTTCTCCAAAACTAGAAGTTTCTAAAATTCCACACTACCCTAAGCCAACATCCAAATCACCCAAAAAAAAACTTCCTAGAACTGATGCAAGTGTAGAAACAAACGAATTTCAACAAATTAAGCAATATATCATCCAACAAACAAAAGAGAAGATCTCAATAGATGAATTACAGTAAACGAACCCTAATTTCAACAATTAAACGCGATAATCTCAGGATTTAACAATGGAATCATACAAACGAAACAGAAAAACGGCGATTATCAAAGAAATATTACCAGATTTTATTGAGCATGGCTTCGAACAATCAGGAAACTTAGCAGAGAAGATATCCTTTTTCAATTGACTTCCCTTTTCTTCTTTGCCGAAAACTTGAATAAACTCTGTACAAATTCTCACACAATTTTTTTATTATTATTACTGCTGTTTTATTCTTCTTTTGGTGTGTTGTATATGGAAAACATATTTTATCAATGTTTATTGATTACAACTTATGAAAAAAATATATTTTTTTATAAGAAAATAAGCTTTTTGAAATTAAACACTTCCTTTCCACCATCTACCCTCAATTTTTGATTTAATGATTATTGATTCGTAGATATGTTAAAGTGTTATGGAACCATTAAGATATTGAATTATCAGTTATTGGTTGTGATTGATTTGGTTGTTGATTTAATCATTTGACACGCAAAAAAAATATTAAAGTTCACTTAGAAATAAAATTTTTAAAAAAAACAAATATATTATGCATATGAGCTATTTCATCTTACTCAAAAGCAAACACCATCATATTGTAGAACAACCAAAAGTTTAAGTCAGAAATAAAAGTACGAAACTAAATCTGAAGTCCCATTATCAATAAATCAACAAGTTTTTTTTGGCTTGATTGTCGGTTTCAATTCGATTTAGAACAGTCCCACCCCACCGTCGCCCCACCCATTGTTGTAGTCTTATAATCACATGTAAGGTAGGTTGATCGATTGAACAGTCTTTGTCGAAGACTATATGATATATATTTAGGATAAATTAGAGGGTTTTTGGATTGGCGTAAAAATTGGTCAAACCTACTTTTAAGTTGGTTTTTGAGTTTTAGAAATGTTTGGCAAATATAAAAATAATTTAAAATATGTCAAAAATAATTTAAAATAAATTAGAAAATGTTTGACAAGGATAAAAGAGGTCTTAAAATAAGTTAAAAATCAAAAACGCCTACTTTTTTTTTTACTTAAAAGTAGGGTTGGGCATAAAATAACAAATTTTTCGCTATTTGAAATGGTATTCTAGAATAAAATTTTAGAATTACGGTATTCGAATTTGTGTTCGGTATGAGACATGAGTATGTTTGGTACTCGAAATATCTCGAATGCCAAAATATTTACTTAATAAATGTCAATCTATCAGCATATGCATTACTCATTAGTACAAGTCCAAAAGAGAAAGTTAAAGTATAAGCATGAATAATTCAAATACATGTCTTTGTATCAACTTGTTTTTATTGATGTATTTTACTTGTTGGTATTTTATTATTGTGCGTTCACATAAAAAATAGAAATGATTGGGGAAATAATATTAACTTTGTAATACAATTAAATATAAGTTTAATACTGTATTATCAAATACCATATGTTTTCGAATCATCAATTCAAAATTATAAAATTTAATCTCTATTTTTAACTATCAATTACCGAATTATCAAAACTAAAATATAACAAAACCAAAACCGAAATACTTATCATTACATGGGAGAAATAACATGAAGTATGGTTGGACAGAATAAGTGGAAGGATTTGCATGTCAATTTCTTCTAAAACAACGTCGAAAATAAACATGGTAATTTGGTTAAGTGAGTAAAGAGAATTCTAAATTAATAGATAAAATAAAAATAAAATTCTGATTACTTTATAATATTATATTTGATATTTATATTTTATTAAATAAAAATATTAATAATGAAAATAAACTAGGATTTCTTTCCATTCTATTAAAAAAAAAGAGGAATAATAATTCAAAAAGGATAAATAATAACTTTGAACAATCTTAATCCCAAAAGGAAAAGGAAAACTTTTAAATCAATACATATTATATAAACCCCATTAAACAGAACAAACAAACAAAAAAAACTTAACAAGAAAACGTAACACATCGGAAGTTATGAAGCTTTCAGATGAAAAATTAATCCCAAATCAACCAGCTACAATCAAAATAATTCCTGAAAAATCAGACGATTTATGGCTTTTATACAATCTCATTGTCGAAGATGATGTCGTTTCTGCTGTTACAACTCGCAAAATTCAATTTTCTTCTGATTTGACAGCGAAAAAGAAGAGCAGGTTCAAGTCCAGCTCGAAATCAAAGTTATAAATGTTGATTATGCGAAAGACTGTTCCACTATACGTGTTCGTGGCAGGACGATTACGTCTAACGAATATGTAAGTTCTGGATCTTTCCATACTTTAGAGCTGGAAACGAATAGAGAGTTGAAACTGACAAAGAATCCTTGGGACGAAAAAACAATTAAGATTTTGAAGGAAGGATTGAATCAAAACGGTAAGTATGACTTGGGGATAATTTTAATAAATAATACATCTGCTGAAATTTTATTGACGGATAATAATACGACATCTATTACTCATTGTGCAACTATACGAAACGAAAAAACTTTGAAAAACAACAACTCGAATTTCGAGAAATTTTTTGAAAATTTATTTGTTTCGTTTAGAAAACATATCGATATGGATGTCATACCTAACATGGTGATTGCAAGCAAAGACTCTATCAAGGATGATTTTCGAGCTTACTTGTTGCTTGAGGCTCAAAAACGGAAGATAAAATCCATTGAGAGAAACGAATCGCGTATTCTTATGATTCATCAGAACAATATAAAAGATATTTTGAGTGATAAAGTGATAAAAAATATGAACGCTAACACAAAGGTGATTGAAAAATTCATGGATATGGTAATAAATAAATGTGATTGGGTGTGTTATGGCACTAAAAGTGTTGAATATGCACATGAATTGCTTGCAATTGATACACTTTTGATCACAGAAGAACTGTCAGAGAAGAAGGATATTAAATTGAGAAAAAAATACTCAAAGTTGAAGAAATTAGTGCAAGAAGCTGGTGGAAAAGTAATACAATTTAGTGATGTCGAAGGAGACAAACTGGCTCAGATGACTGGAATTGCTGCAATTTTGAGGTTTCCTATTCCTAATATTGATGACTTGGTGTTGTAGTGAATTTTTTTAAATACGCATTTACAAGAAATATTATAATGTATGGCCATATAAATTTTTAATTATAAATAGAATAATATGTCTTTCGTCATTTATCATTAGTTATAAGTTTAGATAAGTCAAAGTTTTATTAGGGTTATGATTTTGTACCATTTTAACGCATTAATCAATTATACGTATTAGTATGATTTTACTTCCATATACATGTACTTATATATATTAAACTTGGCGCATAATATATATTCATTTTAGTAAATAGCCCGCAAATCATATCAGACATGTGTATATTAAAAAATAATAAATGAATCATTTCTTAGTTTGTGTATATTATGCTTGTTCAAGAATTCAGAGATTATGTTATACTTTTTTGTATCGTTTCAATTTTATTAAATGTCCAAATTAAAGGGATCTTTTATTTGAATTAAATGTTACTTTACGAGTAATATTATGTTAAAAATTATTTATTCATATTATTTGATATATAATATTAGATTCTAAGAGATTATTTAAAAAATAAATAATTAATTTAAAAAATAAAATATTTAAAAACTTATCTTAGTATATTCAACAAATAAATATGAAGATAATGAGTAATATATATTGTTATGTCGAAAGTTATATGTGACTTACATTTAACAGTCTGCTTTACCAATTAATTGGGTTTAATTTACTCATATTTTGTCATTCTGTTCTATTGGCTAACTGTTTAGGTAGCAAAAAATTTGTTTAGATAAGGTATTATTAGTTTAACCATTAATATATGAAACACATATTTTTTTAATTAAAAATTATTCAGAAGCAAGATGAAAAATTTAATGATCTATGTATATGAGCTTTAAGATTGGCATATTTGCTCAAAAGCAAACAGAAGCATGAAGTTGAACAATCAAAAGTTTGAGAGAATTAGAAATAAAAGTATGAAACTTAATTCTAAGTCAGAGACTTTATATATCGAATGTTATTAATCTAATTTATTGATTTACTATCAAATTATTATTTAACTCATTAAAAGAAAATCTTAAACCGTTAAGCATTGATAATTCGATAATTTTAAAAAATAATAATCATTATTAAAGTTACTAAACCAATAATTGGTTATCGATTTCGATTCGATTTAGAATTAGCTCTACCCCATCCCCTCCCCCACCCCATCCATTAGTGTAGTCGTGCAGCCAGCCAGCACGATAGTCAATTGAACACTCTTTATCAAAATTTATATAATTTTATGATATTAAATTTTGAATGTACTTGATAAAATTTTTGGTCTTGGCACTTACCCACCACCACCTATTTCATGATTTTGTGTTTGATATAAATAAATATATCAAATTTTAGAAAATGTATAAAAATTATTTATACAACTCTAAAAGTATTTGTCTTTTAATTACATCATGGGCTGTGAAGGCCCAATTAACTGACTGATCTCTACCAAGCCCACAAAACTAGCCCGTTTAGATTAGGAATTTTCTTTGTCCAAAATTTTGTAAAAATTCAATTATCGTCGTTTAATTGTACTTTATTTTTTGATTATTTTAGGAAAAATTAGTAAATTAGTCAAAATAAATAACA